TGGCCATCGACAGCGACGGCGTCGGCGGCACCAAGATCAGCACCGTCGACCGCTTTACCGTCTTGGAATCCTCCATCTACAACGCATTTTTGAAGGCCTTCACGACGGAGCTCCGGAAGGTTCCGAGAGTGGAGGCGGTGGCGCCGTTCGGAGCTTGTTACAAGACGGGCAGCTTCGGGAGCACGCGGCTGGGGCCCGGCGTGCCCTCCATCGACTTGATTCTGCAGAACAAAAAGGTGATTTGGAGAATCTTCGGAGCAAACTCGATGGTGCAGGTGAACGACGACGTTTTGTGCCTTGGGTTCGTGGACGGAGGGGCAAATGCGAGAACTTCTATTGTTATTGGGGCGCACCAGATTGAAAATAATTTGCTGGAGTTTGATTTGGCCACTTCCAGGCTTGGATTTAGCTCCCTTCTCTTTGGTCGGAGGACTACCTGCGCTAATTTCAATTTCACGTCCAAAGCTTGATTAAAATAACAAAATTAATAAATTAATAAATTTGAGTTCAAAAGTTTAAAACCCATCCATAAATATTGTATTTTGGCATTATGTGAGACGCTTTTATTTTATTTTTAATATTATGTGTTGGTTGTGAATTACATTTCATTCGAGATTCGGATAAAGTGGTGGCATTATTATAATTAAATACAACGTACCGACCGGATTTACGGAAATCTATGTTTTTCATTAGTTTTTTAATGGTTAATCCTACTCTTTTGTCGTTTTATTTTTACTTAATTTTTTTTCTTTTTCGTTCTTCTAAATTAACAATAATTTTTTAAAAATAATAATAAAAAAACAATTTATCATCATTCTTGTCCTTTGGGCTTACTAAAGGCCATTGCCACTTAAACGAGCAACAAGGTTTTAATTCAAAATTTAAAATTAGATTAATTTATGTGTTAACCAATGTAACTTGTTAAGTTTCCGTTTAAATTAAATGTCTTATTATATACTTTATTACTAAATTGTAATAAGGGCTAGAAATGGTAATAAAATTTTCAGAAATGGATGGGAGTGTTCGTTTAATTTTAACATTATCATAATTTACATCTAACCATATTTAATATTTTTTTATTATATTTAATCTTGATTATTAACACTAAATTAAAGTGAGAATATAAAGCTTTAAACGTGTGTAAAGGCGTTAAAGCGAGTATAGCTCAACTGTAATTGACATATATCTCTAACTCAAAAGATTTTGAGTTTGATTCCCACTCCACATGTTGTACTAAAAAAAGTAAATGTGGGTAAACGAGATGGCGATTTATCGTATAGAAGAAGAGATCCGCGGACCTATTGATTGACCATAGATGCGACCGCCGGCATAACCATAAAAAAGATCATTAAAAAAGCGTGAGCCGTTATTAAAACATTATAAAGTTGATGATTCCCACCAAGAATTTGATCGCCGGGTCGTGCTTCCTGGCAAGATCAGATCAAGAATAGCCAAAGGCTAGGAAAGCACAGTCAGACTAGTGCCACGCCGACTTTCCCAAATGCCCACCACCGGCCCAGAAAAAGAAGTTGGCTTATTGAATGCAACAAGAGAGGGCTCCCGGATCAAGGAGCACGTATAGAAAGAGGTCTTTTATGATGCGGCGGCGGACCGACAAACTGGAAAAACAGCTATAGCTATCGATACCATATTAAACCAAAAGCAAATGAACTATTTCTTCTGTATTGAGGATCATCGAAATAAGCAAGAATACTATTTCTACGAAAAATACCATTTATGGGTATTTCAATCGAAATATCGGAAGGGGGCGGTAGCTCTTTTTCTCATTCTTGAAGTGATTCAAATTGAATGATGAATCCATTTCTTCGCCTCTTTGCCAATAAATCATAATTACCGTGGAAAATAGCAGGATATGTGAGATTACATTGACCCGTACATAGGATTGGATTAAGTTCTGAATAATCAGGAATTACGCTTTCGTTTTTACCAGAGAGATCTGAACTATAAAATTTTTGTCTCACTTTATCGTTAGGTCACACGTGTAAAGTAAGTACCACACATATCATAAAAAATAAGTTAACTTTAATTATTAAACATCAACTAGCTAATTATTTATTCATTTGGAATATTAAAACATCTATCTATGAATTATCACATTGACATGGGATTTTTTTAAAAAAACAAATGACAAAAGTAGGTAGGATCAAAACACATTCCAAAAATAGGGTAGGTAAATCGCAGCCGTTGGCTGTGATTTCAAGAAATCGCGACCGTTGTGCGCGATTTAGCACGAAATCGCGGCCTATGACCACGATTTTAGCCTTGGCTGCGACTTCCATTCTGAAGCAAGTCGCAGCCGTTGGGGACAAAATTGCTAGGGTTTTGGTGGGGACAAAATTGTCTCCACCCGTGACCCCCTCCCCCATTTTTACTTTTTCTTTCTTTCCTCCATGGTCCCCCCTCCCTCAATAAAAAATATATATGAAAACTCACTAAAAAAAAAGTGAAAAATGTTTGGAAGGAAGTCGCATGCATCGCGGAAAAAAAAAGAAAAGAAAAATGTGTGGAAGTCGCGTGCGTTGGACGCGACTTCAAGGGGAAGTCGCTAGCATCAGCTGCGATTTCCGTGGACGCAACTTCCACGTCAATAACACCTCACCCGCCACATAGACAATACACGTTGCACGGAAGTAGCGTCCATTGTATGCGAGTTTTGACCCCTCCTTTGACCCAACCTATTTTTGTCAATAGTTTCAAAAACCTAAATTACTTTTGTATTTATTTATTTAATTTACATTTATTTAGTTATTATTTTTAATTAACATTATTTTTGTAATTTCTTTTTAAAATGTCATTATTTTAAAACTTAACCCCATTGACATGGAGAATATAATGTTAGTATTATTAATTGTAGGGTTTGTAAAAGAAAGAAAAAAAAGCGTTGTCGATAACCCTTTTGTTTTATGTTTGTTTTAGAAAAAAATTGTTTTTTACAATTTTATTTGTAATTTTCACATTTTTAATAGCATATTGGAATTCTAAGTCAACTATTGAAAATAAACACAAGTTTTCGAAATTCTTTTCCCTCAATATTTTCAAATTTTGATTTTGAAAATATTTATTAAAACTATATAAGACTGTCATAAAAATAAAAAAAAATTATAAAAAATAAAAGTGAGATCCAACTAGTTTTTTTTTTAATCTAACAAACGTTATATATAATAGTGAATCCAGTTGTGTCAAGATACAGACTACAGTAGTCATGACATTTATTATTATATTTTTTAAAAAAAAAAGTCCATTTATTAAAAAATTCTAACAAATTCAAAGTTTTTTTTTTTCTCAAGATAATTAGCGCGCTTGCTAGAAATTGTAATGGAAGAATCAATCGAAATAAATAAAATCAATGAAATGGTAAAAGTATAATGAATATTAATAGAGAGAAAATAATAATGTAAAGATTCAAACATAAAACCTATCATTCTTATAATTAAACTACCAATGAACTAAAAAAATTAACGAATTATAATAAATTTAAATATATGTGTTAGATATCTAACGAATATATTTAAATAATTGAAATTCTTTTTAATTACATTTTGTATTTTTCATCGTTGCTCAAAATCTCGTGTTTTAAAATGAAAAGCTCCCTTATTCTAAGATTATGTTTTAAATTTGTAATAAAAAAAATTGGACTTGTTAGTCCATATTATTAATTAAATTTCAGAGATATTCATGTGTCCCTCGAACGAGTCGCTTCGCCAAAGAACAAATGAGCCTGCAACCAGAAAACTCGACACTGATGCAGTGTTCCGCTTAATACACTACAACGCTCAAGTCAGTAATCACGTCGTGTTGTACGACGCCTGACAGGAGTGTATGCCCTTGACAATGGATTGAACGCTCCTCCACTTGCAGGCCTGCAGCCTACCACCTGCCACCAGCAGGCCGCGAGGCTAGACGTGCTCCCATATTGTGGGAGTGGTGGTCCTCTCCCCTACCTTTGCAGTGTACGGTACGTAACCACCATGTTGTCCTACGCCTCTTTGTAGTTGACACGCATCCTGCTCGATTTTGACCCTTAACACATATCATAGTTTAAAAATGAGTAACTATTCTTTCTCAAATTTCAAATTTCATTTTAGTTTCTAAATTTTATATTATGTACACAATGTTAAGGATCTGTTGAGAAGATAAAAGACTTAACTATTATAGATCAGTGACTGATCTTATTGTCAATTGGTTTTGACATGAAACTCATAAATATCTATATGATATAAGAACCAACAAATTTAAATAAGCATCCAATTTAGAAATGAGATCGAGTTAAGATTAATGAATCCAAAAGAGGCATAATCTTAAAGGACATGTTAAAGATTTAAATATAAGTGGGTTATTCTCGGTGAGAGAGTATTTTTAATTTGTCTGGTAAAAATTTCCCAATACTCGAAAATATCATAATTGCCAATTGCCATATCTACAACTTATCATCGTTTAACTAAACAACTTATTTAATATTTACCGATTATTCCTATCGTTATCCCCGTATCTTATAAACAATGACTAATCATTGTATTTTTTATAACGGTTTTTTTTTTTGTTTTTTGTGAAGACAATATAATCAATATATTTAAACGAATAAAAAGTTTGAATATGAAATGTCCACCGACCAATGTAAAGTTTCTGATTGAAAAATATGGATGCAAGAAATATACGAGAGGGGTTGCTGAAGTTAATTTAATTAATATTCACTAAACAAGTTATAAAATTTAAATTAAGACAATTATACGTGAGTTATAGATAGAGGTATATTTCCTAGTCCAATATGTGGAGGTGGAGGTGAGATTTGAGCTCATACCGTTTTGTCTTAGATTTGTTCTCGCAATTTCATAGTACAATATGTTGGAGAGGAGATTCGAACTCGCAATCTCATGATTAGAGGTATATTTCAATTACCACTGAGTTGTACTCGCTTATCCTTTTTCTAGAGCTAGGCTATCTTTCTTCAAGTGAGAGATCGGATCGTGAAACCTCCGCCTTTGGGCTCCTCTGAAATCCTATGCTCATGTCTTTATCCTAAGGGCTATAGAACTATCTCTGGCAAGCATTAAGCCGTCGAACTGCCGACTCTAGTTGCTTCTACGTGCTATATTCTCTTCGCCTAACACATTCAACTACCTTTTCTTGCAACGAGTTCGACTGCAGCTCACATTTTGTTTATAATCTCTTTTTATGTGGCTCCCCTTCAGGTTCGGTTCTTCTTAGTTGGAACCTCGAACTTAGACCACCTACGCGCTGGTAAACGAAAACCACCTCGACCAGATCAGAGTAAACAAGAATGTCGATCAGGCCCCTTGCCTTGAAAGAATTCACACGCGGCCACCTGCTTTCCCAAAATAAGGGGAGATCCGCTGCTTACTGTTCACGGAAACATCCGACCTATACGAGAGTCAAGTCGTCCACGTATCTTTCTGATCTCCTTTCCTTCTATTTATCTGATTTTTGACTTTGACTCATTCTCAAAACTCAAAGGAGATGTTTTCGGATTTCTAAACGAATGAACAAATTAATTTAGAAGAAAATCTTGATTTTTTAAAAGATACGACAGATGAAGGCATTCAAGAGTCGATTTTAAATTATTTTAATGAAAATTTCAAATACTTGTTGCAAAAGGAATATAAACGTTGACCAACAATTATTATGCTTTCTTCCTTCCATTACGTAATTTACTGGGTCGCTTTTATTAATAATGTTAATAATAAAAGTTATTTTTAAAATATTATATTTTAATTAAAAATGTTTAAAATATGATATGTTTTGAAACTTTTTTAAAAATATAGTAGTTTTAAAAAAGTGAAGGGTGATCGTCTCTTGAATAGACGACCATTTAGACGTGGCGCCACGCGTAAATTTTTTTAAAAAATTTGAATCTTAGGTCATGCATTTTTCTTTTTTATAATCATTAACCATCATCTCTTTTTTTTTGAAAAAAAACGCGTGACTTAAGATTCGAATTTAGGACGGGAGAGATATAGAGCAGTAGTACATCCACTACACTACTCAGGAATGTTTTTGAATTAAAGCTACTAAATAATATATAATATAAAACATTATACTTTTTTTTTTCAGAAATAAACCGACCGGGTGGTCGTCTCTCGAAAGAGACCATCCCACATGGTCAAGAGACGACCAACATTCAAATTTTTTAAAAAAATTTACGTAGCGCCCGCGTGGCGCCACGTCTAAATGGTCGTAAGAGACGACCAACTTTCAGTTTTTTAAAACTACAATATTTTTAAAATAAGTTTCAAAATCTACAATATTTTTAATATTTTTAATTAAACAACTATATTTTTAAAATAAGTTTCATTTACAACAATATTAAAAAAAACCGGGTAATTTACTTGTACGATTTAGCAAATAAAGTCAGTTTTTCTAAACTCTTACAGCTGGCACTCCACGTGGCATCCTCCATTTTAACATGACCATGATTTTCTATTGGATAAATGTGTAATTAAGTTTCTTATTTTAATTTAATAAATTAAAGATACTCACTCATTAATAAAAAAAAAAAGAATGAAAGAATTGCAAAAGAAGTCAAATAAAAATATTTTAGCGATTGACAACAACACTTTAAAAAAATAATAATCTGTTACATCCATTGAGTCATTGACCATACAAAGTTAGTTCAAAAAAATGTTGTAATACATGAAAATTAAGTTAAATTAAGAACCAGAGGAATTAAGAGATATAATGATAAATAAACTTTTCGTTGACAATTTCTATTGAAATTTATTACAAAATGACCAAATTAATAACTATCAATACATGGATAAAAATTGGAATTTGAATAAATTTAATTCCTGGTATAAAAAAAAGGAGGAGATAGGCATGAATCTATATGCATCAGAAAAGAACGTTGAGTAATTCACCTTTGCCGAGCATGTTGTGCTATAAATAGACTCGGACCAGTTTACAAAATGCAGCTCCTCAACCTTTGAAGCCATAGCTAGTAATAGTATAGCTCCTCAAACCTCCAATGGCTTCCTTCATCCATTTTCAGCCATTTTTGTCCTTCACATTCTTCTTCATCTTCTTCTTCTTCTTCTTCACCTCCATTTCTGCAACTACCTCTTTCCGGCCCAAATCACTGGTTCTTCCGGTCATCAAGGACCCATCTCTTCAGTACATAACCCAACTCCGTCAAAGAACCCCATTCGTCCCCTTAAAATTGACCGTCGACCTGGGCGGCCAGTTCCTCTGGGTTGACT